TGAGAGCAATATAAGCTCTCCTGTTTGGACAACAGAAGAAATAAGCTCATTTTTGTGACCTCATGGCGCTACCATCCCCCCAGTGGAGAGAAACAAGTTCTTAGTTCAAAGCTCCTTTGTGGTGGGGAGATCCCAGCATGGGCCCTCTCTGCCGGCAGGATTTCCACTGGATTTATTCTCCAAAGCCCAACCCTTCCTGCCAAGGCTGAGCATTTCACCTGAGCAGACAGGAGTGAGTGTCTAATGCCAAGGCTGCCTTACCACTCTTGGCATCTTACGGCGTTTACCCGGCTGCTGGCACACCATCTTCTTTGATCATTGGGAAATCATTTTCATCCAACCCCTTTACTAATTGCTCTAGCAGTCCAAAGTACATTGAAAAGCTGCATCACAGAAAGAATTGCTTATATCAGACTCCCTCCCAGGTCCATTCTCGTGGGCTTGTACTTGTCTTTAATGCCCTGATTAAGGATCCGTGTGGCCTGGTGGTTAGGGCTGAAGGTTCTGGAGCCAGATTGCTCAGCTCCAGATCAGTCTCCTTTGCTCACTAGCTTGGGTGATTAGAGCAGATCTTCTAGCCTCTTTGGATCTCAGTGATTGCATCTGACAAGCGGGATAATAGTGCCTATTTCTTGGGTAGTTGAGAGGAGTACATGGGTTGATTTGTTGACTTAGCCTGGAGCTCAGTGCCTGGCACAGAGTAAACCCGACTTAAGGTGAGCTCACATGGTAATCACAATCATTAATATGATTGTGATGGTGATGATGTTAGTGACGATAGCCATCGGAGCACACGGAGCCCTGTCACTTACAAGCTACATTTCTGTGACCTCGAAAAAGCAGTTCAATCACCCCCTTAAAGTTTGCTTCTCATTTCTTCCTTGCTGGTACCAGCGGGATAGTACTGTCCATCCAGAGCAAGAGTCAGCAGACTACAGCCTGGGAGCGAAATCCAGCCTGCCGCCTGTGTTTGCGAATAAAGTTTTATTGGAACACAGCGGCCCCCATTTGTTTACATATAGTCTAGTGCTTCTCTTGCACCGTGATGGCTGAGTCGAGTAGTTGCACCAGAGACTTTATGATTTAATGAACTTACGGCCTATAAGGTAAAAAAATATTTATTCTCAGGGACACCTGGGTGGCTCAGTCAGTTAGGCATCTGCTTTCGGCTCAGGTCATGATCTCAGAGTCCTAGGATCGAGACTTGCATGGGGCTCTCTGCTCAGCAGTGTGTCTGCCCCTCCCTCTCCCTTTGTGATCTCTCTTGCTTTTGCTCTCTTTGATAAATAAATAAAATCTTTAAAAAAATATAAAAATAAAAAATATTTACTCTCTGGCCTTTTACAGGACAAGTTTATTGACCCCTGACCCAGAACAGTGGTTGTAAGGATGTGGGGGAGGTAAAGCCCATGTATTGATCCAGGCACATAGTAGGTGTCCATTTCAGTGGAGCTGTGTCCCCCAAGCAGAAACATTCATGAACTTGGTGCCCAGTTCTTGCCCTCCTCCCGTCACTCTTCTTCTACCCTATAGGAAAAACAGAGGGAGTAATCACCATGTGAATAAGTTAGTTAGAAATACTGCACAATGATATGCATAGGTATTATCATCTACCATACATTTCCATATGCACCAAATATTTCACATGTGGAGTAGACTATAGCAATGGTTAGAAAAGGCTGTGTCCAGGGCGCCTGGGTGGCTCAGTCATCAAGCATCCACCTTCCGCTCAGGTCATGATCCCAGGGTCCTGGGATTGAGCCCCGCATCAGACTCCCTGCTCAGCGGGAAACCTGCTTCTCCTTCTTCCACGAATCTCCCTGTTTGTGTTCCCTCTCTCACTGTGTCTCTGTCAAATAAATAAATAAAACTAAAAACAAAAACAAAAACAACAGCAACAAAAAAACCCTTTAAAAAACAACAATAACAAAAATAATAATAATTTTTTAAAAGGCCAGAAAAGGCTGTGTCCTGTGGACTGTACTTCATAGGAGGCTTAAGGCTCTGTTAAGAGTAATTCTGATGCTGATTTTCCCCTGCCTGATGGTTTCAGATGCAGAGGAAGACTCCCTGCCCCTCTGAAGGGTAGCGCTGAGTGTTATGGTCTGCATCTAGAGCAAAGTAAAACCAAACGATCAGAATATTCTAACCACTGAAAATAAGTCCAAAATGCGGATAAAATTTCTGAAGTCCTGCATGGCAGAATATTATATGCCTTCATGTCTTTTTCATTTTGGGGGTGTTTTTTTCCCCTGTTCCCAGGCACATGTCTGTTTTATAATGTGAGGTCCACATGTATCACTTATATTTGGCTTTATTTATCGTCTCATGGCTAAAAATGACAGGTCACCTTGCAAAATGCAGGGGGAACACCTCAATTTTGCAAGCAACATCTTTTGATATTAATGTCACCTTCTTCCACCTCCCTCCCTGAGTGTCGTGAGAATACAATGAGATCTAAGTAGGATGGTATTTCGAGACGCTGAGTGCAGTAGACAGGTCCGGTGTAATCACGTTCTTTCTGTCCTTGGCAGGAAGGAGCAGCCTCCACGTGGAGCTACTGAGAGGAGAGAGGGGCTCAGTGGTGTGAGGACTGGGTGTTAGATTACAAGTGTGCGTAATTAGCGTGGGTTATCTTCATTGGAAAATAAGCCATTTATTTTCCAATTTAATGAATAAGCAGCTTCCAATGAACTCCGGTAGAGAGATTTGCTTTCCAATTTCAGTACTTAAGTTCTGTGTTCTTTGTATTAATGGGTTGTTTTTATGGCCCACCTTAATGTTTTTCTTACTGTTCTCTATTGGTGTAACAGAATTTTAGGGATGAAAAGCAACTCCCGAGGTGATTCACCCTGTCTTTTAAAAATAAAAATAAAAATTAAAATTAAAAAATGGGAAGAAAATACGGCCCAGAAGGATCCTGGGGGATCCTGTGACTTATCCAAGATCTCATAACTGGTCCGCTGTCCACTGGACCATGTCCCTAAGTGTATGTCTAACCAGCACCAGAAGGGCTGTAGCCAGACTCTGGGAACTGCCCTGTTTGCCCTGGACTAGCTCTGCTTTCCTTCTGCTCCCTGGTTTTGTTCTGGGGGCTCTCTCCCTGCTGGCATCTTACTTACGTAAGCATTGCCTCTGCTGGTAGAACACTCTGGTCTGACCCCTGGTCTCCAAGCCTCCCTGTCCCCTTCCAGCTCCAGGCCAATCTCCTGGCTCCCAGCCCTGCCTTGTGTGGCCTACGACCTGGCATGCCATCTTCTCTGCTTGGCCTTACGGCCTACAGTGAGTCCCTGGACTGACAGCTTAGACCAAGGGCAGTCAAGTCAAGGGTTTCTGGGAGTGGCCACCCTGCTTCCTCCCTCCAGAGCATCGGGGCTCAGGAGGTGGGATAAAATGGGTCCAACAACCCAGATCCCCTGATCCTTAATTTTGGGCCTTCTTCTTAATTTTTTAAATTAATAAAAACTTATTTTTTAGAGCAATTTTAGGTCCATGGCAAAGTTGGGTAGAAAGTACAGCGTGTTTTCGTAGACCCTCCCTGTCTGCATACAGTACAACCTTTCCCCACTGCTGGCATCCAGCATCTCAGTGGTACCTTAAGTGGGTATCTGCAGAAGGCAATGGCAGACACGTAGTAAATTTCAGGTCACTTTGCTCTGCCTGGGCATTCTCTGGTAGTCTGTCCCCCAATGAATTTCAAATTCTGTCTTTCCAAATGAATTTCAAATTCCAATTGACTGCAGTTGGGTTACTGAGGTTGGGGTCCTGTACAGCCTTGGAGCTCCCCTCTGAGGACAGGGAGGAAAGGGAGAGAGAAGGAGGCAGCTTAAGGGTGTCCTTATGAGCTGAGCAGATAACCCAAAGGACATCTACCCTACCATGATATTTTATAATCCAAGGTCTCCTATAAGTTCTCTGGCTGCCTCTTTTCCAAATCTTTTATTAATATCGGCCCCAAATTCTGGCAATTGCCAGAGGTTCATCTTCGGACCTTCGCTCTTCCCCTTATTCTCACTTTCTTGGAAAGAGTGTCCTCCTTTGACTGGTGCTTCATCACCGGCTATGAGGTCCCCGACCCTCTGCCCCCCACACCCATGTAGACTTACTGGAAGTCACCACATCCAGAGACAAACATCTTTCCTCCGAGACTCAGTCCCCGCTTCTTGCCTCTTGATAAGTCATTGCTAAGTCTTTTTGCTCCTGCTTTGGAACACTCTTAGGTAATGGGACGTGTGGTACTGATTTTCTCACAAATAGCTACCTGCGAGGAAAGCTGGATAATTTGGAAGACACATGGGCAAGGCGCAGAGGTTCCCATGTTACCTTTTAAAACCAAGGCAATCCATTAATTTTCCATCAAGGAATCCTTTTATAATGGACACATGCATAAAAGTTGTGAAAACTGCATTTGGAACAGCACATTTAAACCGTATGATGTTGAGCCGTTGAATTTATGCATACTTTCAAATGTTAGTCTTCCAGTTTTCTAAGAAAAGCAACATTCTCTCTGAAATTGCCCATTATATAGGAAATGTGGGTGATTACTGCTAATTCACATCTGTACCATCACCTAGATACCGAGTTTGGGGGTTTGGTGAAGCCCACTGGTGTGCGCTGATCAAAGGTTATGTGTATGCACACTGTGGAAGGCATTTTGTGGAAGGCATTTTATATAATTCCAAACAATTTAATAAAAATGTAATTCGACTGGGAAATCTTCCGTCGGCCCTGGCAGAGTGCAGATAATGTTCCAGATTAAAGAGCTGAGGCTTTGTTCATTACAGTCAAACGATGCGAGTGTGTGAATTACCATTTCCTTGCCGTTGGTCTATTTCAAGAGTATGCCATTTTCCCACTATGATAATAGGCTACATTTTCTTAAAATCATTTGATTATGATTGGTCCCGTCTATTCAGTTTGCAAATAAAAAGCTTTTGTGGTGATAAACTAGCTGTTTTAAAATAGCCTTCATCTCTGGTTCTGCTTTTGAACTGCTACAGGTCAGACTCTGCGAAAGGCTGACAGAAGCCGGTCGTGCTCGCAGGAGAAAAAGGAGGTAAATGTGTCACTGGTGAGGGTGGGTGGGAGGCAGCTTTGTTTGAAGGGAGCCTTCCGGTGAATAAGAATGCCTGGATCTCCTACTTGTCTCTCTCTGAGTCTCCAGCTTGAATCCTGGTCCAGAAGATATCTGGCACCTTGAGGTCTCAACCAGAGTGTCACTGGTAGTAACAGTCTCTTAGGAAGTGTATCAGTTAGCTTTGTCTGTGTAACAAATTAAACCCATGTTTTAGGGATGTCAGCAACAGTGCTTTTAGGTCATGATTTTGTGGGTTGGTAACGTGGGCTCAGCAGTTTTGATTTCAGCTGGGCTCACTATGCCTTTGCGGTGAGGATTATGTCACCTTGGGGATGGGAATACCATGGCTTCAACTCTGTTTTATTGCTTTCTCATCCACCAGCCAGCCAGCCAGCTTTGTTCTTCTGGGGGCTCAGGGGGTCAAGAGCATGAAGAGCAGAAGCTGTAGCCCCTCTTGAGCCCTGGGCTTGGAACCAGCATGGTGTCCCTTCTGCCAACTTGGTTTTCTTTAAAGCAAGTCACACGGTCAGGCCAGGTTGGAGGGGTGGGAAAGTAGGCCTCACCTCTGCATGGGAAATCTACAAATACCACGGCCATTCTTGAAACCTGCCCCACTGAGCCCACCTGCCCTGTGCCCGGCAGAAGGGATGAGAGGGACACAGCTCCAATCTCACGGTGGGCGCCGTATAGATGGAAGGGATGTGCAGTGGGGTCATCATAACGCCGTGTGAGAAGGACAAAGAGAGTGGAATTTCAGTACAGAAAAGGGCTCACCTGACTCTGCCAGTGATCTCCAGAAACGCAGGCAGAAAAGCCGATATGCAGGCTGCCTCTTTAGAATAAGCAGCAGTTTTTCGGGCCAAGTGAAGAGCATGGTCAAAGTCCAAGTCAGACATGGATAAGGAAGGTTGCAAGATTACTGAGCCGATGGGACGCCTGGGTGGCTCAGTGGGTTAAAGCCTCTGCCTTAGCTCGGGTCATGATCCCAGGGTACTGGGGATCGAACCCCACATTGGGGGGGGGTGTCTCTGCTCAGTGGGGAACCTGCTTCCTCATCAATCTCTGCCTGCCTCTCTGCCCACTTGTGATCTCTGCCTGTCAAATGAATAAATGAAATCTTAAAAAAAAAAAAAAAGATTACTGAGCTGGAGGGTACAAAGTAGAAGCAAGGACCCAGAGGATACCTCAGGGTCCTCTGATCCAGTCTCAAGCTCACCGGAGTTTGAATTTGAGTCTTATGTAGCCACAGATGGGTATAGGGGAATAGGGTGTGAAGGCACGAGGCTCATCTTAAGTATTGACCAAATCTTGAAATTCGTCCTGCGTCCTCTGAGTTGGCCTCACCCTCAGCCAAGTGAAGCAGGTTGGGGTTGGACCGCAAAGGGCCGTGGGTGCTTTGCAGTGGCTGTCATCCTGTCCCCTCTTGTCTCCTTTCTCAGCTGTAGCCAGAACAGCTGGCGTGGGTTTCCTTTTTATTTAAGCCACCCGCCAGGGACAAGGGCTAGGACCTTGGTGCTGCTGAAAACATCTAAATGTCAGCCCTGATGGCCATTCAAGAAACTGAACCAGAGTGGATTCTGTCACTCCTTCCTGGTAGGAACATTTTTCTGGAAGCAGGAGCTGGTGTGCATATCTCCCACAAAGTCCTTCCCCCTGGAAGGACTACCCCCTTGGAGGGTAGATAGAGCTGGAACAGGAGTGAGCACAGGCCCCAGCAGGCTCCCAGCCCCCTCTTGGTCAAGTGACTTAGCGTGGACTCCCCCAAAGCCAGGAACGAAGTATTTCAACCTAACTGAGGCTTTCGGTCGCAGAGGACCATCATGACATTTATCCACTTGAAGACATTGGCTGGAAATCGACAAAGCAGGGCAGCAGGAAAGGAGATATTCACATCCCCCTCTGTCTTTCTCCTTGGCAACAAGGACTCCCTGATTGCTGCTTTCCTGGCTCCTCCCATCATGCCAGTTGCCCGAGAGTACTTCACCTCCCTCCCCTTCTGCAAAGTGCATGCAACGAGGGAAAGAGAGTGGAGATGTTTATCACAATTTCTAAGTTTCACCCTGAAAGAGATTTAAAATGGTTTCAGGCCTTTCTGGAAAAGAGGGTGCTGACTCTCTCAACAGGGCTTTTGTTTGGTTAGAGAATCAAGAGAAAGAGATAGCAAGCTGCCAGGATGCTCATCTTGATCTATGAGAACATGCTTTTCCTGCCCACTTCCTCTTCTGCAACCCGCACCCCCATCACCTGTGAAATCTCTACTTCCTGAGACTCATGCCTAACGCAGGATGCTAGGTAGAGATCAGACTCTGTCACCATGAAAGGCAAGGGGAGGGCGAGCTGGTTGGAACAGACAGACAGGCGCATCATGCTGCTTCGGTGGTGAGGTGACACGGGCCTGGTTGCACCAGGGCAGGTGAACATGTGATTTCCTTCCTGGGTCGGGACTGGGTAGTTCTCCATGTGGTCATGAGCCAACCCGGCAAGGAGAGGAGTAGAGGCTATTCGTAGTGAGCTCGGCAGGCCAAATTCAGCCCCAAGGTGTGTTTTATTTGGCCCAGACCCTATTCCTTTAAAAAAAAAATTAGCTGTCCACATTTACAATTTTCCCATAAAAATGTGCACTTCTGGCTTCTTTGATAAAATGGAGAATGACAGCAGAGGCCTTATTCCCGTGAAGTAACGCTGGGCCATGGCTGGTGTGTGGGAGCCCTTCATTCTGCCATCCCTGCCCTCCACACACATACACATACACACACACCTGCTGAGCATCAGACAGGTGTCAGCAACCGCACTGTGACCAGCCCCATGCCAAGGGCTTTGTTTCAGTGGTCGAAAACATTGCTGCCCGTTAGAGTCACCCTGGAGCTTTTTAAATACCCTGAAGTTTAGGCCTTTTTCCAGACCAGTTAAATCAGCCTCTTTGGGGGTGGGACACCCCCCCCCACCCTGCACCCCAAGCCACAGTTGAGAACCAGTGCTTGGTCCGTATTAAGTAACCCCTGGCTCTCAGCTCGGGTCCTGCCCTGGGCAGTGCATGCCTGCATCGCCCCAGGACACCCCAATTCTCAAGCCCTCCCACAGACACAGATAAACCCCCATCAGGTGCTGGAGGAGGGAGAGTGGGCTTCCTGGAAGAAACCACGTAAACCGAGGCTTTGGAAGAGCTCCAGTCCTTTCAGAAACATGCGTCTGATGGTTAACTGGAAGCCGGTAGATACTTTCCATTTAGCTGGTAAAAATATTCTTGGCCTTGTCTCTAACAAGTATTCATGGTTTCTGCCTGTGGAGATTATATAGTGTTTATGGCCCTTGGTCTTGAATTATTCATGATTTTGAAATTGTGGTCATTGTAGTTTACTCAAAAATCATTAGGAAGTAAATTTATCACACAGTGTTTAAAAACGTGGAAAAGAAAACCACAAAGGAGGAAAAAGATCTGTGTTCATCAGCCCCCCAGCATCCATCCTATTGCCCGTGGCACTGTGGGGCTCATGGCCATGGCGCTGGGGACCACACAGAGCTACTCGAGCCCCACAAGACGGAGTTAGTACCCACAGTGTACTCCTCCTGCCTCAGATCCCGGTCATATGACCTTGGCTGATTCTCTTGACCCCTCTTGACCCCTCTCACTGCCTGTTTACTAGGCAGTAATGCTTTAAAGTACCCTGCACAGTACCAGACCCGTAGTAAGCATTCCATAAATGTTAGTTGTTACATTATTTTAATCATTTCTTAGCATGTCTAATATTTAACAGAGAGGTATTCGTGTCCTTGGACAGAGAAGGCGCCCGATTGTACTTCTGCTGAAGGGATGTCCCTTGCTCCAGCTGGACTGGGAGCTGATTCCATCCTTCCAGTCTCCCAGCTGTATGCCCCTAGGCAGGCTAGATCCAGCTCCCCTACTCTGAATCAGTCTGAGAGTCTCCAGTGATAATGGACTGCCTTCTTTTGCAGCTGATTGGAGATTCTGAAAAATGCTCTTAACAGCACACTGATCTGCTGAGCTCACTTTGTAAAGGACTGCAGAAATCGTTTAACTCAACCACCAAGAAAATGTTAAGCTTTCCCTTTGCATGCACGTACAAGCACACACACTTGTACACATGGACACATGCACACTGGCACGTGCGTGCGCGCGCACGCACACACACACACAAGTACTTCCTGCTATTAAGCAAAGTCTTTCATTGCAAGGACTAGAGACTCCTTCCATCTTTGCCATGCAAAAAGAGGAACTGGAGTACACAGTGAAGGAGGGAGTCCAGGATTCCGGCTGCCTCCAGGGATGGGGAATGCCCGATGACCCTCTCTATACCATCATGAACATGCCGTCGCTCCTCTCTGCTCTATGCACCTCATCACTGTCTTGCTCTTCCCTCTCTTCCTTCTCCTTCCCTCCCTCCCTTCTCCCAGTTCAGATGCAGAAAGAGAGTCTAGTCTGATTGACCTGGTAGTCAGTACCAAAGGGTATTCGGGGGACACAGTGCTCCTGCTATCAGCGCCGCAGATACCCTCTCAAGAAGCAAACACAGTAAGCAATGGCGGGTGTGTCCTTCCAGAAATCTTGCATAGACACGCAGCTCTGCAGAACAGATCTGTCCCTCTTTGTCCCCGTGATAGCACAACAACACATGACTCCTTTTCCTTGGATTTTTTTTTTTTTCACTTACTACCATGTTTTGGAAAGCATTCCATAAGGACATGTGCTCAAACCTCATCCACTCCTCTCTGTGGCTGCGTAGTGCTCCACTGTGAATTCACAGAAGCACAGTCCTTTCTCTGAAACCCTTGGGGCCAAATGTGTTTCACTGTTTCAGAATTTAGAAAGTAACACCATCCCAGTGTGGTCTGGGACAACACCCTATGATCAAACACATTAACGCATCTGCAGGGAAATATGATTATTCATACTAAGTAGGATAAACAAAGGTTGTAAATTTCGTTGTCAGTTCTGATCTGGTCTGGTTCTGTTACCAAAT